ATGAATTGAGAATAGACAAATCTTCTATAGAAATAATTCAAAATAACGTATGTAGATAACTCCATCTTTAAGGAATTGAAGCATAACTCCCTACTCCTAGTGTTGGCTGTGCATGGTGATTTCCTTCCAATAATACAAGACAGAAAGTGGAAAGGAACCTGACAAACAATACCTCAGCCAGATAATTAAGATCAACATCAACAGTGATGACATGCTGCTAGTATGTACCCTTGATATGATATGACATGATGAGAATGGTACTCAATAGAAATAGGCAGTGTAGTCTTCCTCCCCAGAACATACTTCCCATGTCTCATCATGAGAAAAACGTCAGACAAATTCCATTAGAGGGACATGCTATAATATATATGACCAAGCTTCAAAACGGTCAAGGTCATCAGAAACAAAGTTGAGAAACTGTCACAGCCAAGAAGAGACTAAGGAGATATGCCTAATTGTATATGGTATCCTGGATAGGATCTTGGCCATTAGGTAAAAACTAAAGAAATATGATTAAGTATGGAATTTAGCTAATAATAATATATCAACATCGGTTCATCAATTGTTGACAAATGTATCACACAAACATAAGATGTTAATAATAGGGAAAACTAGGTGTCAAGTAAATGGGAACTCTCGTACTACCTTCACAACTTTTCTGTAAATCTAAAACTAGGTTTAAAATAAAGTCTATTTGAAGCTATAACTGAATTTCAAAGGACATACTTTTAGATAATTTACAGAATATTGCCAACCCTTGATAATCTAGGAGAAATTGCTCTCAGACCACAATGTTAGAGGGAGTTCTTCTCCTGAACAGCAGTTGGGTTCTTATGTGTTCACTCAGTTAATCCTGATTATGTTCTCACCTTTTCTTTGGCCACTAGGAAGCTTGGAAACAAATCAATTAGTAATTATGATGAACCATATAGTTTCTATGAAGCTCTTGGCTTTATCTTATTCTATTAATATTTCACTCCATTGTGACTTTTTAATATTTTTATCACTGCTTTTATCTTCTATTATCAGTCACCTGATAATAGTCACCTGGTTGGGAGGACTAATGGGGTTCACATTTGTTAAAAAGTTAGCACAGATATAGAGAATGCAGTCAATAAATGATGACTATGATGATTATATAAATTATTACTTTAAAAAATAGCAATAATTATTTTCATCAATATAATGAAAAGAATGGAGCTGAATTACAAATTAATCATAGGCCAAAGTGGTGATTTTTCTCAGTGACCCAGAAAAACAAGAGTAGCTGCCATATTTTAGAAGATAAGAACAATAAATAAAGCGAGGGGGGAGGGGAAAGCAGGAGAAGAGAGAAAAACAGATAAGAGGAGGAGGAGGAAGACTTCTTACACACCGTCACTGCCAAAAACAAGTCTGAAGGCTTAAGACAAGGTGAAATCTGATCACTTTTTCAGCCATGACTCCACTAGAATAATAAAGAGAAAAAAAGAAAGGGAAAAAAAACACCCTCTAGCCTTTTTGGCACCCATTTCCCCAAAGCCTCCCAAAACAATCACAATAAGAGCCAGATAAACACCAAATCTGAACCTCTCCTTGGCCCAGAGGATGCCAAGTTCATGTTCCACTGTCCAGAGTGTTTTTTGGCATTCGTACATTCAAACTCAGACCCTCATCTTCCTGATTCTAGAAGATGGAAAGACAATGGGGATTTTTCATTAAAAGAACTGTGAATTGTTTAAATACTATGTGCTACACATTTTATCCACAGTACCTCTAACCCTGACAGGGCTGCCAGATGAGGACCTGAATTTGGGCAGGGGGTGGGGGAGGGGGAGGGTGGTAATTTACTCCAGCTTCTCACAGACAGTACATAGCAGAGACGTTGAACCCAGGTCAGTCTGACTACAAGGATTTCCCTCTTTCCGCTAGGCCAGAAGCTTAATGCAAAGACTCCCTGCCAAAATCGATACAGTAAGGAAGCTAAATAAAATAGCTAGGGCTTCCCTGGTGGTGCAGTGGTTAAGAATCCACCTGCTGATGCAGGGGACACAGGTTCAAGCCCTGGTCCGGAAAGATCCCACATGCTGCGGAGCAACTAAGCCCGTGTGCCACAACTACTGAGCCTGCACTCTAGAGCCCGCGAGCCACAACTACTGAGCCTGAGTGCCACAACTACTGAAGCCTGCATGCCTAGAGCCCGTGCTCTGCAACGAGAGAAGCCACCCAATGAGAAGCCCAAGTACCGCAACGAAGAGTAGCCCCCTCTCGCCACAACAAGAGAAAAGCCCGCGTGCAGCAACAAAGACCCAACACAGCCAAAAATAAATAAATAAATTTATAGAAAAATAAAATAGCTAATTCCTTCAAAAACTTTCTCAGCGCTGTGTTGGAAGTTCTTCTGTCACCTTACTCAGTCAGTCCATACAATAACCCCATGGAGTAAGTATTGTCATTACCCCAATTATATTTATAATTGAGAAAGCTCTGAGATTACTTGTTTCGCCTGATCATGCAAGTTGAAATAGAGAAGAAAGAATGAAGAGATTGAGGAAACAACAAAAAAGAAAGACAGATGTAAGAGAGAAGTGTGCCTGGGAGAGGGCAACAACCTTTACAAGAGGAACTTGGTGCCTGGTGCCCAAGGTCCACAGGCTCAGCTCTCCAGGAGAGCAAAGCTGGAAGGGAGGCCTCTGAAGGTGCTGGCGAGTATGGACAAGGGGCGGGGAGGGGACTGCAAATACACGCTAAAGAAAGTAGAATGAGTCATGAGTGTCTCAGCCAATAAAAAATGGCAGGGATGACTGGACAGTCAATAAATCATTTCTGAGCACTAAACTTTCTGCTTCCTCAGGATTTCAGATTGTCACAGGTGGGCAATGGAAGCCCCCAAGCATGTTCTGATAGGCCAACGAGAAGCTGTCCATCTTTAAATTTACCAAATCCATCCGACCTTTCAAAATACGTCCAATCCTTCACAGGTATGGACCACCTTACATATCACTTTCATGTATACTCTGTTAGGCAATGTTGTCCCAACTTACCGGACCATATAACCACCTGGGGCACTTGTTAATCACACAAATTCCCAGGTATCCCATAGGGATTCTGATTCAGAAGGCTTGAAACTGGAAGCCCTGAGGATCTGGGCTTTGAATAAATGATTCGGCTGATTCCTATAATCAGGCTAGTTTGGTATCACGATCCCCATTTTATAGATAAGGAAAGTGAGATTCAAAGAAGGTAAGGCCACTCCCAAGGTCACCAAACTCTTGCATGGCAGAACTGAGGATAAGTCATGTTGTAACTCCACAGTGGATAAGCAAAGCAATGCATTTAAATCTATCTGAGCCAGAGCTAGCTTCAAAACCCTGGCTTCTTGGTGTCTTAATATGGCATTAGACACTTGGAAATGGGGGTGTGGACTATCTAGCACTATCAGAAAAACAGGGAGGACATCAGTGAATTGGATTGATTAACATCCAAGGAAAAAGAGAAGGAAAATCAAGGTCCTCCTCCATCTGTAGCTCTGCTTTTGAGTTCTCAAGGCTTGTGGGGGCCAATGGATTGTTACCGATACCCACACTATTAGCACTGTTTTGACTCCTAGGTCCATTTGGCTGAAATAATCAAAACATTTCCTTCACTACTGCATAAAGATAGGGAAAAAAACTAGAGAAAGGTCCTGCCAGAAATAACTCTGGACAACTAATATCACACCAAAAGAGGAATGTCCAGATGAGATCTTCACCCAAACAACCCCCTCCCCATTGATGATAACAATATAATGGTGACTAATTGCACCTTCTGGGTTAAAGTTCAGACCACTCCTCCAGAGCCCTCTCCCCAGAGAGGGATGAGTACCTGAGGTTTACTGAGGCCATTTTAATATGCACGTGAATCCCCTCCACCCTAGCATTTCATTAGTGGGAGGGGAGAATAATCAACAAGATGAATGATGTGCTTGTGAAATACATCTTCTACTATCTCCTTTCTGGAAGCCCCTGCTGCCAAATGAACTATCACACTCTCATCAACTCTCTACAAGGAAAATCCAAATCATACAAAACGAGATAGACAGAAAGAGCACAGGGAAAATGGTACTCCCATTCCCAGCTTCTCATGAGTTTAAATAAAAGGGAAAATAGGGAGGATTTAGCGCTCTCTAAAAGAGATGACTTTAACATATACCTAAATATACACATACTCATGCAGGTTTTTCGGTCCTCTGGGAAATGATCCCCTTTCTCATATGCAATTCTAAATCATTTCCAAGATAAGAAGACCCCTCCCTGCCCTACTGCCCCCTCCCCTCGTGCATCCCCTGAAATCTGAGGTCAAGATGACAACAGGTTTGCATGCTTTGAGAGTACATGTCCAATCTGTCCATATATATGCACATCTGTGCACACATCCATTGTAGCAGCCACAGTCACACTCCATGAGTATTTTTAAAATTGTCTCTGATGTGTAGCACATAACTTATTTATAATATTTGTAATTTCTTGAGAAATACTGTTGACTTCAACATACATACTTCTACACTCTGGGATGATTCAGGTACGTTGATATAAAAAGCAAAATAGCTTCATTAACACACCCATCTAGTTAAAGTTAAAATCACCTTCCTTGAAAAACATAACTCTTGCCTTAATTTTAGGGGCCAAAAAATGTTTCTTTTATTCATCACGTAAAAAGCGCCTTTGGAAAAATAGTCACATTTCACAATGGACTATTCACGTCTCCTTTAAATGTGTCCAATTTTAATGAATGGTCTTCACCTTGGATACCCACATTCCAGGCCTCATAGGAACAATGGTGTTTGGGCATGTGCAGTGGAAGTGGAAGATGGATTCAAGATGTTTCAAGTACGCAAAATCGCATGCAGATGTACAAACAGTACATCCAGTCAAAGCGAGTTAAGAAAGCTATATATATATATATATATATATATATACACACACACACGCACACCCGAGAATGGATGAACACAAATAAAATCCAACTCATAGTTAACATACCGTGCTGTGACACCTGTTGCCTTCCACGATAAGAAGTCTGGGAGATCAAAGAAATGTCCCGCTTTATCCCAGCAAGTCTCTCTCAAGTTCTGCCAAATTAAATACATATTAGAATCAATTATGGGCTATATTTTCTCCCCCTCTCCTCTTTCAATAATGTTTCAAAATTTTCAAAACAAAAGCATAGCCAACAATGCCCAATAAAACATCTGTTCAGGGGCTGGGAATGGTGAGTGATATAAAAGCAGTACTATACAGGAAAGAAAAATTGGCAATTATTGATCCTTCCAAAAATGACTATAATTTCCCTTTTATTCCTCTTTGCCAACCTGGAGCAGGAGGAAGTACATTCTGCAAGGGTACGCAATCCATCTTCCCAGTGAAGGGCAAGAGGGTACTCTTCAAGACACATAAAAAGATTTCAAAGCTGAACAGCTGTGAACTGGGGAGAAAAACCACACTAAGAAATTACCCGATGAAATGCAATGTGTCCTGCCATGAAAAAGTCTCCCCAGGCTGACTGGTTCCAAAGGCAACAGGAATGATAGTCCCTGTCCACAAAGAACTTCCAATCTAAGCCAGAGAGAATGGTACGGAATCAAGCTATTCTTATAACTTTTTTAAACATTTGTTCCTTCCAATTTCTTCCACACTGCCAATGTGGTCAGATTTTTTTTTCCTGCCACTGGGCTTTTTCCTTCCTCTGCCACCTCTGTCCAGAACACTCCTTCCTCACCCACCACCCTGCTGCTCTGCCCACTTTGGTTAACCCAATCCATCCTTCCCTGGGGAGGTCTTTCAGGATCTCCTCCTCAGGTGAGGTCTGGCTGTCATATAACCCATATCACCCTGCAAGTAGTTGTATAATGTCCTTCTCTTCTGCTAGACTGTAAGCTCAATGAGGTCAAGGACCTTGTCAGTTTTATGCACCATAATATCCCACAACTGTCTTTTCTCCTCCCCGGCACAGGACTGGACCCTTAGCTGTGAGGTAGAAATCACATGACTCCAGTCCCCCTGACACACTTAACTGGACTAGGGGTGGACATGTGACCTAACTGGGCCAATCAGATTCCTTCTCCCAGGAATTTAGAATCAGGATCCAAATGGAGTCATTTAACTTCTGCCTTTGAATGGAATTGGAGGTGAGATAAACTTGGAAACTGTGAAGTGGCCATTTTTTTGCCAAGGACCTGGAGAAGTAGGACTTCAAAAAGAGAAGAGCAATACAGACAGAAGCAGCAGCAAGAAAGGTTTCCTACCACCTAGGCAACTCTCCATGTCCTGGTTTCAATTATTCCCTCCCCAAGAGGCTACAACAAAAAGGAATGTATCCTAAGTACATGGGTATCTTTGGGAACCTAAAGGTAACAAGACAGAAGATCCAAAAGAGACATATTCTAGTATCTGCTAGCAGGTGACACATAGCAGACGTTTGATAAATATGCATTGAACAACTAGACAAACTGCTCAGTTTCACCTTCCAATCTCTCTCAGGTGAGAGGCGCTTCGGAGTTTACAAAGGGTTTCCACATGTGTTACCTCCTTAGAACAACACAAAAGTCCTGAGTGCTGTTCTATCTATTTTATAGACATACAACTATTCTTTATCTATATTTGGCCTCAAATTCTATGAGTTCTTCCTATTTTCTCTTCCCCTATCACCACTCTCTGAACACAGACATCCACGCACAGCAGAGAAACTGAGTATTAACCCAGGAACAGGGTCCCATTAAAACAATAATAACATCAAAAGGGCTCAGATGTAAAAGGCAGTGTTAAGCCCATTTTCTGTTGTTGGTGGTGGTTGTTTATTTTAAATTCCTAAGCATTTGGGTGAGCGCTTACATCTAGAAAGGGCTAAACTTTCCTTTGAACACCGATACGTCTTAATGTTAAACAAAGCAACACTTAAAGTTGACTAAATATGCCAAACGTAGCTCTGAACTAGCAGTATCTTTATATGCTAATAGATCAGTCAGAACATGGTAGCCTTTGAAACTATGAGTCAAGCTACTAGTATGTCTTCTGGGTAGTCCCCCAAATCTCTTTCCATGTGCTCTGTGGTTTCGGTGATCAGTTCTCAGGGAGAAAAGGCATCCTCCTTCTAAAGACTTCAGAAATCCAAGGCCAATCAGAAATAAACCACGAAACCACTGCAGCAACGATCAGTACTACCAGCCAAAGCCAAGCAGTCTTCCTCAACTCAGAAAATAACTGCTTCTGTTAGATCTTGTATACAGTCATTACAGACCTTGCAAAATGAGAGCTTTCAGCCTGTAGCCACGCAGACAGCCTCTGTGGACAACGGAACCCAGGCAGAATGTCTCAGAGACAGCATCAGGCCTCTGGCCAGAAAGAGACACATCGGGGGCAGGAGGGACAAAGCAGCCTGGCGGCGCCATATTTTCTTGAGACAACGCCGGCTTCACTGAGCAAAGCCAGAGACCCTGGCTCAAACTCTCCATGGAAGGAGTGACCAGAAATGGCATCATATAAGGAGTGCGAGGCACCCTTAGAAACGCACATGATCCTGGGGGAGAAGACAGCAGTAGTATTCCCTGCCTTCTCCACAAAAGCAAAGTCTGCAGCTTAGCCAGCAAAGGAGAGGGGGAAAGCGTTTGCCTGGATGAGAGGGATGTCTCCAGAAGCCTGATCCCTTACTTGGGGATGCTGACACTACCTATGAGGTTCCCATGGTGTTCTTAGGTTGGGCTACATGATTCACAAATGCTTAGTCATCAAATGCCAGATTGGCCAAGGGCCTATTAGCCCCCGGGGATGGATTCTTAATCCAGTTCTATGAGAAAATCTCTCCATCCCTGCCTCTCCCCAACCAGCGGAGTCCCAGCCAAGGGCCTCAATCTTACTGAATTAATTCTATCCTTGGAACCACTGGGCCTGCATCAGGCACAGCGACTGTCCTCTTAGATTCTTCCACAGCTTACAACAGTGCCCCCACGTTCCTCATCTCATTGGATTCTCAGGATGGTTCAGAGGTTGTAGGTGATACACAACAGTCTGCACGTGAAGGATGCAGAAACTGAGGTTCAGATGACAAGGCCTTAACCCAAAGCCACATGGGGCTTCCCACTCTAAAGTGAGCGTTCCTTCCTTCCCAGGCCACAGTCACCACCCTGAGGCTCCCAGATCTAGCAGAGCTGTGGGTTTTGGCCTTTTGGAAGCATCATGATGGAAGCTATTACCATTCTTTACAGAAGAAAAGCCCTCCAAAACACATTTTTTCTCATGTTTTTTGTTTGTTTGTTTGTTTTTGTGGTACGTGGGCCTCTCACTGTCGCGGCCTCTCCCATCGCAGAGCACAGGCTCCGGACGCGCAGGCTCAGCGGCCATGGCTCACGGGCCCAGCTGCTCCGCGGCATGTGGGATCTTCCCGGACCGGGGCACGAACCCATGTCCCCTGCATCGGCAGGCGGACTCTCAACCACTGCGCCACCAGGGAAGCCCTCTAATGTTTTATTAAACTTCAGAGATTTCACTTTCAATCCTGGGCAACTCACTTAACTTCTATATCCCTCATAACAACTTCCATGCACAAATGGTACACGGGCTAGAGCAAAGACAGAGCAGGTCCCCGACACAAGCCAACTTTAGGCGCATCTCATAATGTGGGTGCTGAATCCAGTTCAAACTAGGAGCTCTCTGTGCTGAAGGAGTTAAGCCTCTCCTCCAGTTACCAAGCAACTAACAAAAAGTAGTCTTTTCAAGGAAAAAAAAAAAGAAATCAGCAGTGATTGGGGTGTATGACTTGGCAATAAAGGCTTCTGCATTCCAATAACAATCCTTTGAGCTAAGCAATCCCTCAGGCTCGAAAGCCACCAAAGAGAACAAATCTCTTCTTTAATCATCTATTACTTCATAAAACCACACTCAAAGCACACACAGCTGCGGGTCTTGGCAGAGGGCGGAGGTGGAGTAGTGTATCTGAGGTTCAAGGCCAGGCAGCAGCCACCCCACCAGCCTGGGGCAGAGAGTTGGAGCTTTCTCCCTTTCCTTCTCACTGCCATGTCCAGGGAGGCAGTGAGGTCTCTGCTGGCTTCTAGATGCCAAGGGAACTTGAGGGTAAAATGAAGCAGACACTGCAATGTATGTTGGGAGACGCGAGGGTCTAGGAGCAGCATGGGAAAGTAGGGATGACCAATTAAAAAAGGATCAACTAAGTATTTAGTTACAACTTGCAGTGGGATTCTATCTGGGCTCCCTGCTGTGTGCAGTGAATGAAAGGGAAGAACAGAGCTCCCTAATTCCCTCCCAGTAAATGGTCCTGCCAGAACATCCCAAATACTCACCATGTTGTTTTCCAGCACAACGGCCCTTAAAAAAGCAAAACCTTATCCTCACTCTATATTCACGACTAAGAATTAGGGCACAGGCTGATGGCCCAGAAAGGAGAGATGTTTCAGGAAGAAACTTAATCCTCAACTTCATTCTTTTTAAAAAAAAAAAAAAAAAGGATGCTGAAAACATGGACTGGGTCATAATCCGCAAACAGAAACTTCCCAGAATGTATGAAATAACTGTGTTTCATACTCCCATCCACAGAGAAAAAGACCAAACACTGCAGATACTTTAAGTCAGACAGATATGCTGAGAGGTTTGTGCTACCAGTGACATCTTTCTAAAAACTTAAAACTTACCATGACGTTTCTTTGTTTAAAATGGTTCGACAGTTCCTTGCGGCCTAGAATCACATTTTAGCTCCTTGGCATGGCTCTCAGGACACATAACTTAGCTCCAACTTGGCCACTCTTTGTTATGACTCCTTCTTGGCTCACTGCCCATCATCCCTGTCTTCATCACTCCCCACCCTGATCTCACCTCATTTCTTTCGCTTCCCAAACGCACTGTGCTCTTTCATATCTCCCTGACTCTGTTGAGGCTGATGCTGCTACTTGGATTGACTTTCCCATCTTCTCTCATGATCAAACGTCTACCTTCGATTTTCAAATGCAGCTCAAATATCACCTTTTCAGTGAATCCCTCCATCCCTTGCTGTGTCCTTATTATATATTCACGTGCCTAAGTCCATCTCAAAATTTCAAACTCCTGGAGGGCAAAAAGCCGCTAA